ATTACTAGATAGTATAACCAAGATTACAGATTAATCTAGATCCAACTAAAAGAAAGCCATCAACCATACACAGACCTATTTTTCAAAATCATTACCAATGAAATTCAAACTCTGGACCTGCTACTTGCAGAGGGTAACAACTAGACCACTACACTAGGTTGCCACACCTCATTAAAAAATTTCTTTTTGTTATTGTTTTTATGTATTACTATGTAATTGTGTTTATTTTAGTATTCAAAATTAAAACTTAGCAAGTGACTCTCTACCAATTATGATTATAAATTGCCAGATAACAACATTATTGGCAAATTGTCGAATAGGGTAATGCAAATGATTAGCTACACATGCCACAAAGTGGCACATACTCATTTGCCAAATTACCATTATTTAACAATTTTTGCACAATAATATATACTTATTATACAAATTAAGTTTTTATATAGTTGATATGTATTTACTTATATAAATGAATCAATAAAGATATGAGCAAGGCCTTACCTTAATACTAAAAAAATAATAATAATAATTTCTTAACAACTAACTTTCTAAGCTTAATGAATATTTTTATTATAATTATCTAAATTTATAGAATTAAACAAATATATATATATATTATCAAATTTGGATAATTAGTTGTCAAGAAATCTTCATTAAAAGATAAAAAAAATTTTTTGGCTGTCTTTTTATAAGTGAATAAATATTATTTAATATTTATCTAACAAAATCCAGTCAAATTTTTTTATTTTAATTCTATAAGTTTGTAAATTAAAATAAAAAAAATTTGATTGAATTTTTTTGTTTAAAGTTTAAGCACCTATAAAAAAAGCTGCAACTAAAAAATTTTTTTATTTCAACTCTGAATTTAGATAATTAAAATAAAAAATTTTATCACATTTGGATAATTGGTTGTTGAGAAATCTTCGCTTAAAGTTGAAAAAAGAAAAATTTATCCGAATTTGGGTCGTCTAAAGCCGCGTCCAATCACGTGACATAGAGCCAATAAAGTCGTATATTTTGATCGACACGGGTCAACCCGAAGAGGTCAACTAAAGCGGAGTGAATTTTGAAAATTTAACTTAACGTTTATTTAATTAACATTAGGATTAGAGCTATTTGAAGTTATATTTAAGAGTGCTTATAAGTAAAATCGTTTTCCAACATTTTTTATTAAACCAAAGTAGGTTTAAACGCAAAAAATACAAGAAACGAGTGTCTAAACATAACTCGGGCATTAACAAAAAGTGTCGTGAGAACAATTTTACCATAAAGTAACTCCTAACACTAGCCCCGGGCTAATCCTTTGACATCCCAGGTTTGTATCACTCGCAGAAATAAGTGCACACGGGACAGAGGCAGTTCCAATCGGTTAATAGGCGGTTTCAAAATATTAAATCAAAGATAACCTTGTATACAACTGTATAACGTTCTATAAGTGTCATATCGCTATGCCGTTTTGGATTTTATTATTATTATTATTATTATTATTATTTGTGCTTCACAGCATGTTGATAAATAAAACCGGATATACTTGACAAATAGTAACTAATTTGGAAATTTTTATGACAATAAACATTCAAAACTGGTAATTATATATATATATATTAAATATGGATTTTTGATACGAAACCAAATTTTATTAATTATATCACAGCACATTAACGGTTCATTTTCAGAAAATAGCTAAAAGAAAAAAAATGCAGTCAATAAAATGCTTAAATCTGAAAAAAAAACCACTAATCATGACAATAGTCAAGTGTCATTAAAATATGCTGATTCATTTTCTGAAGAACCTCCTTCGTGCTTCTTTAAATATGGACCTACGCGAAATACTAGATCCAAATCATCTTCAGAAACTAATTCTAGGACACCATCCTATTCAGAAAGTGTTAAGTCTAGAGCATTTTCGGATGACAGCTATTCATTTAGGAATAGCCGGATGGATGGTCTCGAAAAACGTATTCAACAACTGGAAAAATTGCTAAGAAATAAGGACGAGCAGTTGAATGAACAAGCTAAAATGATAAATCAATTAAAAGAAATATTAAATAGTCAGTTTAAAAAACGGGTTGAAGTAATAATACAGTCTATCCTCGTTTGTATCAACCTATTTGAATTGGTTTAAATCCATGTTGATAGTGATATTAACAAGGGATTATATTAAAGTTGATATATATGAGGTACTTTTAATATATAAAAATTTGTAAAGAATTCACTAGGTTGATATTAACGAGGGTAGACTGTACATAAATTTTCAAGGCGCAAAAATCAATTTTCATGTTTTCATTTCATTTTAATAAATGATTATTAGGTTATCTATTAATGTGTTTAATTTTATGCTCGCCTACCAAATTTTGTATAAATTGGGCAACTTTGTGACGAAAGAACAGAAAAATCGGTCAGAAAACTAATCGTTATAACAAAAAAAAAAAAAAAATCCTAATGCGTGTAGTAAACTTTTTTGTTCATGTTTATAGAAATATATCTATTTTAATCTAACAAATAAATATATGCTATAAAGCAATATATGTTAACTAATCATTTGTTAAATTGAGCCAAATTACTGATATTGCCAATTTGTTCAACAATGATTATAATTCAAACATGATTATGAGTGAGATGCTGCAAAAAGAAGAAAATAACAATTTTTTAAAAAATTTTTTTTGCATAAATCAATTTAGAATAAAATAAAGATTATTTTTCACTTAAAACAAAAAGTAGTTGTATTAATAAAATTTGCAGTATAGTTCTTTAAAGGCTGTATCTTATAATTTATTATAAGATCTACAAAATAAAAATCGATTTTTTAATCTTTTTTTTTTCACTTTCACTCTTTTTTGCAACTCTCAGCCCATATCACGACACATGAAAAAATAACATTCATGATTAGGAGTTTGTAGAATAAAGTGTCATTTCCACCAATGAGGTTGCTGGATTCGTGAATAATATCGGGTACTGTAGTGATGGGCACCGCGCGTGATCCCGCGCGGGATATATTGTGGCAGTGTAATAAATCTGGCTGTATTCTGAAATACTACTATGTACTATGTATAACGGCTGCAAGTTTTAGGATATTTTTAATTGAATGCAGTTTTTTTCAGCAATTTAGATTGTCTGTCATAGACACAAAGCGTCAGATTTTACATTGTATGAAATAAACTTTCAGAGGTGTAATATACTTGGTCTATTAGATGTTTTGAATTGGTTGAATGTAACAGGTCCGGATCTTGTACACGATTGCTTACAGTAGTACGTGGCACATCACCAGGTACTTTATCCATTTTTCGCATGTATTATATTATTAGCCTTATTGTTACAAAGATAAAATGCAAAGGGTTAATAAGAGTATCGTTGGATTTGTCAACCTGTTCCGCAGATAATAAAAAAAGCTTTGTAACACATTAAAATAGTATTAAAGTTCAAGAATTGGTACAACTAGATATAGCCTAAATCAGAATTTCTTTAATAGGAAATTACAACCAATCTTCAAATAGCGATAATCATGATATCAAAACATCATGCAAATTGAGATATTTACTTTTTAAGACTGGTAAAACACACTGATGCCGATACCGTTTTAGCCCTTATATGTACGTATTTATCATAAAAGGAATTTCCAAATTGAATTTAAGGAACGCGACGATGCAGTTTTGCAGTTAATTTATTTGACAGTATAATTGATTAATAGGTAATATGAAGAAAATGGCTCCTTTAACTCGAATTAAGTACATCTTGGTATATTAAAGTATATGAGTAAGAGTTTATTGCTAGTAATTCGTAAGTAATATAAGAATAAAATATTTTCGTAAATGTTCAAAATTCTCAGAAAATTTCATTTATTCTATCAAAATTTTTAAATTTACTATTATAGTATGAAGTACGTACGTACATAACGATAAGTAACAGTAAAAATTATACGGCTCATTTTAGAATCAACTGAGTTTTATTCAATATAAACAAGAAAATGCCCAAAGGACAGATGTGCTTGTTACGTACGTAGGGTGCTAACTCTATTGATTAATCGGTTTTATAATAAATATGCATGTCGCTGTACATAATATTGGTTTACTTGTACACGAGAAATCCAACTTAACATATAAAATTGGTTCAAACTCTAAATGGACATGATAAACTAGTATAAACTGGCGTATATATATAAGTATCTTCAGGATACGTAAAAATCCTGACATCTGTTTATCAGTACCTAATTTGAGTTTAAATAAGGTACGACTTAGAATCGCACAAATAAAGATAATTAATGAATATACCTTAATACGTTTAAAAAATTGGAAATTTCTTTGTGCAATTGATTATTTTATCAACGTCGATTAGCACACAGGACGACATATAATTCGTATATAATAAATGCAATGAATGCTATGAATTGTGGCCATTCTACAATTACTCACATAATGGGACGCATTTTAAAATTTATTAGTAAAAATTTTCTCTATCTCTTCAAAAAGAGTAAAATAGACAACGTTAATAAATACATTAAACAAGATCATGAAAGTAATGGAGATTCGACCTCAGTTTCGATATTAGACGGTAAAAACAATGACAAACCTCTACAGACGGATAATAGTTCTATTGCTGGCTCAATAAACCCGTCCTTCTCAACAGGAAGCGAATGTTCTCTTCCTGGGTCAAAAACTAATTCAAGAGAATCGTCCTTTTTAACAAAAAGTGAATGTTCTCATCCTGGGTCAAAAGCTAATTCGAGAACATCGACCTTGTCCTCGGGCTTTTCTGAAATTGATCCTTCTAAATGTAATAACCCGGTTTTCTTGAATGATTTTTTGCTAGGTCCTTCAATAAGCAACTTGATAAAAAGTTTGGAAAATCGTATTCAGAACCTAGAGGATCAGTTAAAAAAGCAGAATGACGAATCTAAAAGACAGCAAAAAAAATTAAAAAAAATGGAGGAAGAATCAAAAAGGAATCATGAAACAGTGCGAAGACAGAACGAGCATTTAAAAGAAAAATTGCAAACTTTGGAGGAGGAATCAAACCAAAAATTGCAAACTTTGGAGGAAGAATTGAAAAAAAAAAACAGTCAAGGAAGTGGTAATGAAAAAAAGATAAAGTTTAAATTAATCCCTGATAAAGTTTTCGACATCTCATATAGTCATATTCACATGTGATTAAAAAAACAATTGTCAAACATTCCGAGTCAACTAAAGATGCGGCTAGTTAATTATATTGTATATAAAAGTTTAATAAAAATAATTGTAGTTTATTTTTGTATAAATATATCCGTTTAATATGATTTAATAGAGTTTCAAAATTAATGTGTTTATATAATATTTTACTAATGTTTCAAAATTAACTTGGTCTGATTTCAAATAAGCGACTTTTTTTTTAACTTTTTTTTTTTTTTATAAATCATATTTGTTTTAAATTCTCTTATTTATAACAATTAGTTGAGTGTGTGTCAATTTTTTATAACGAATGTATCATAAAGAATATCAGGAATAGCTAAGCGAGCTTCGTGGGTCCTTAGTAGCTAGGATGAACTGCATTGTCAGTTCGGGATTCTAACCGTAATCATTGAACCAAAACTGGTTGAACTAATTGGTTTACCACATGCCATCAAACTGTTTGTATAGTTCTCTATAATAAACTGAATACACTAATAATGGATTTGTTTCATATTATAAAGATTCAGTGGCCTATAAAAAAACGTAATAATTTTTACAAAATTGTAGCGAACTTTTTCTACCAAACCATCAATTAATACAGTCAGACCTCTCCAAATGCATAGCTATGGGTGGCCAAAAAATCTTGCACTTAGAGAGGTATTGTATTTAGAGAGGTAAAAATCTATAAGTGTCATATGAGTTGGGGCCTAAACAAGGCCAGAGAGTATGCAGTTAGAGGGTCTGACTGTAATAATAATAATAATATATAAATAGATTAACTATACAAAAAATTAATAAGGTTATGTAAAGTTAATTTTACTTTTGTATTATATGAGATCTGAAACTGATAAACTTTTTATTCATTCCCCTTTTTTTGAATTTTCGCATTATATCGATTGATGAAGTTTTTATGACGGAAGAACAAATCATAGCAATCGCAAAGTTTAGCTCCGATAATAATCTTCACTAGGGATAGTAATCAAGTGACAATTTCTTTTTAAATATTAAGCTTTCCGAAGGCTCTACTTCAATTTTCTACCATCGAGATTACAATTGAATCTTAAAGCAATTGAAGAATCTCTCTTCTATATTATAATTAGGGATGGGTTCGACTACGAACGGCTACGATTCATAGCCAATTTACTAAATACTGAGACGATTTTTTGTTCTTGGGCTTTTAATTAAAGTTGTTCAGAGAAATTCTGTTCATCCCATCTTATAAGCAGAAAGAACGATACCTTCTCTGGAACCCTAAATTTTAAGATTTGTTAACATCGTAGCCGACTATTAGCCGGCGGCTAGTAGCCAGTGATACGCACTAGTGATGCCTGACGAAACCATGTGATGCTAATTATCACGTGCTATTACTTATAAAAAATCAAAATAGATTGTTGATTTTTATATATTGTACCATGTGACAATTAGCATCACATGGTTTCGTCAGGCATCACTAGTAATACGCACAGTGGGCGCAGCGATATAAACTTAAATTTGTGCATATTTTGTTGAAAACTTTAATTAAAAGCTCAAGAACAAAAAATCATCTCAGTATTTAGCAAATTGGCTATGAATAATAGTAGCCGTTCGTAGTCGAACCCATCCCTAATTATAAGAACGTATAGTACCTGCATAAGTTACGGTCTTGATCTTGGTTACTGTATACCCAAATTAGGTTTTATGCTCTGTATCAGTCACACGATTTGTCACATCTAAATTTTACAGTGTTCTCTTTATAAAATTCCACACCATGAAAAATGAGCAATTATTTTTAAACTTATGCCTGATTCTTTTCGGATTCGCAAACTCAACTTAAAAACTGATCCGCTAAATGTGCCGGAGTAATTCTCAAAAAGAAAGCTTGTTAGGGCACAGTAGCCTATTTTTTCATAGGCAAAGTTTTGAATTGGATTGCGTTACGCCTGATTCAAAATTTAAAGCGGTAATCCAGAGTGGTTGATATTACCAATTGAATGCATAACCGATAAATAATTAAATCTCACTTGAAAACACAGAGTGAAAGCTTTTTGCAAACCACAATAAATTTATTATGCATGGATTGCATGTACTGTATTATAGGATTATCAAAAATTTTATTACAAAAGTAGAAAAATAAAATTCTTCATACATCTTTGAAGAAAGCAAGATTATTCACAGATTTAGCGGTTCCAGTATGATTCATTTACATCATTTTCCCGATGGAAATTTATCTGATATGACCAAGAAACCACTATAATTATTTTCTTTAAAGGTTATTGATTGAATATAAAAGCTATTGATAAACTTCATGTAAAAAGCATGGAATTGATTTGTCAAGTCTTTCAATTACTGTGCTGTATATATTTTTATACGTATTAACGAATTTTTAAATTATAAAACTTTAATTTAAAATAATTTTCATAACTAAATAAAAATAAATTTTTATTTATTAAAAGTATAAAAAATTTTTTGCATTAGTTTTGGAACAAAAATTTCATCAATATAAAAATTTCTCTAATAAAAAATATATGCGGATTGCTGTCCTTCACTTTAGCATCCCCAACAATAAGATTTGTGACAGTTATCGATATACACTATATAAATCAATGGTGTATACATTATATACTTCTTTGGTTCTTCATTCTGTGTTTTCAAATGTGTTTTTAACACTTTCAATTCTTCATCCTGCTTTTCTAATTGTTTAACCAATTTTTCGGTTTGTTTATTCAGCTGCTCTATCGACTCATTTTGCTTTTTAAAGTCATTTTCTAACTTCCAGACATATTTTTCAAGATCCACCATAGAGTTGTGAGTATTTATAAAAAGTGTATTCATTAAGGTATCTAACGAAGGTAAAACATTATTGCTATCATTTGACGAGATTGATGTTTTTGATATAAACGAATCAATTTTAGAAGAATTATTATTCTGTGCCGAATGATTATTTTTAATATTTGATGAATATTTTTTAGGATGCTTACTACTTTTACTACATGATGAAAGTGTTTTGGAACATTTACTACGAGTTGAAGGTGTAGAGTTATCAACGGACTTTCTTTTGTTATAACTTCCCATAGTTTTTAAATTTTCAAAATTATTGATTGATACAAGAGCAAAATTTTAATTCTGTGTAGTATTAGATAACAGTTACTAAATATATATCTAAGATCTAATAAGAGCGTTTTGATATCTATTGTCAGTAGCCCATAACTCTTTATGTCAGGGTTTACATGCTACTATGATTATTCGTCCGTGTAACCGCATTAAGACAATAGTTAAGTAATCCCTAACCGTATTCTGATAATGTCATATCATCTCAATGTAAATAATAAAGGAAATTACCAATTTTATGTAACTTTTCTAATTTAAAATTTGTAAAAAATAATTGTACGTACGTACGTACGTATATAACTTATTTAATCCTATTCACTAAATAAGTAATTACTTTATTAATATACGTTTCGCAAATTCCAGTTTTTATGTTTGTTTATTGTTACGCCGTTAAACATAAAGATAACTAAAACGGTATCTTTTAATTTCAGTTTGTACGTAAATAATTAAGTTACAAAACTTTATCGTTATTTGCGTGATATTTTGATGCGTAACCGACATAGTACTAAACGTACATACGTACATGGAATATTTATCAAGATTTGCAATAAGAAATATATATTAGTTAATTAAACTTAAAGTTCATCGTACTAAATATGTGTTATTAATATTGCCTAAAAAGAAATTTTTATCGTTATTTTATTTGTCAATCTGATTTTCATGAAATTTCTGCACTTTAATAACTAATAAAAAAAAAAAGAAAGCCTCTTTATTACAAAAGTTTCTTCCAACATGTTTAAGTGCCGGGAATTGATAATAACTTTCAAATTAAATATAGTCGGTATTCTAAATTTAATTACATAAATTTCTATGTTTTCGTGGCAATTTCCCGATATAGGCAAGGGCTAAACCGCAATGTTTAGCGTTAGTATTAGCGTTAGCACTTGAATACCTAGTATGTTGATGATAACCATTGTACCACATGTTTAAGGCTTTGATAAACATTGTAAAAGGAAATTTCCTGGTTGAATTGTTCCCGACCGGCACAAGTTGTACAGTAATTCCAATTAAGTATTTTCCGTTTTTCATCAAATGCATAAACGTTAAATCGGAAAAAAGTCATAGTAAAGTAGGCCTACATACTAATTATGTGGATCTGTAATTCCGATATTTGCCATTTTCCTATTAAAGTATTTCCTATTTTTGTCCAATTTTTCAAAATCGCATAGTGCTCCACCCATCTATATTTCACGTGCAGCAGCACAAGGTAGTGTTCCCAAATGACTTAGATAACCAAATGAACAAGATTTTTTTTCACTAAGGTAATAAAAATATTGTAAATTATTAGCCAATATAATAAAATTTAAAAAAATCAATTAATTTGAATTAAGTTCAAATGACTTTAAAATGAATTTAAATGAACCAAAAGTTTCATTTTATAACGCAAATAACTCGATTATTTAAGAACACTTGCACAAATTCTTATCTCCCTTCTCAAAAATTTTTTAAAATGTAAGTTAAGAATCTAGGCGTTAGAAGACTAATTTTATTGGTTTGGATTTTGCTAACAGGTATAATAGTATTTTTTGTAGTCAATCATTTGTAGACAAAACAGTTTGTTTCATTAAATACAGACTTAATAAAAAATCTTTTATATATTTTATACGAAAATAAGAAAGTAAATCCTGACTTTAATTTGCAAAACAAACACGTAATAACTTGCTTTATAAATAAAAAAATCAGGACAAAGTAAATTTTTCGTTTTGCATTACCCGCCGACCCATTTTTTTCAATTTTTCAATTTTTTTTTAGGTTCCAATTGTGCCAATTGTTCTATTTTTATCATTTAAATTTTCACCATAAATTATTCCGGTATCACCCGATAGAGCCTTATTTTCCGGAATTGTCCGATAGAACTGATAAAAAAAATTCGATTACCGGCCCAATTTTCTGATTCCATGTTATGTAAAGCGAAAAATTAACTATGCGCGACCTTAAATGTGAATATGAGTCTATTATTTACTGTAGAATTAAAAAAAAATCCGACGTGGCCTTAGTGAGAATTGAAATAATTTGTTTATGTGTCTTAATTATGAAGACTAACATGTAATAAATATCTTAATTTTTTTATATAAAAGATTTCATATTAAGTTCGTTTTTTAATAAAATAAGCTTGTCAGTGAACTAAGCTATCAGTAGATTAATTGTCAATAAATTATACAGTCTACAAAATAAACTTTTGGTGAATTAATTGTTAGTAAAATTTATTGTTGACAAATAAACTTTTTAGTAAATTAATTCTATTAGTAAACTAATTGTCAGTAAATTGTACTATTATTAAAATAAGCTTTTCAGCAAATTAAGTTTACTCATAAATTAATTGTTGGTGAATTTAGTATCAATAAAATAAACTTGTCAATAAAATAAACATGTTAGAAAATTAATAGTTAGTGATTTAAACGTTAGTAAGGTGTTATGTTTATAAAAGAAGTGTTAGTAAAGTAAGCTAAATCAAATTAGATACACTGATTTATTACTGAAGTTAATTGAAATAAATATATAGTAAAAGGTTTATGAAAGATATAACAAATAGAATTTATTTAAAATTAACCTCAGGTGAAATTCACCAGCCTAAGAATTTTAGGGTTAGAGCACGGGTATTAAGAATTATTATTTTTTATATAAAATAATATAAAGTAGATATATTCAGTTCTTGTGAAGTTTTTAAAGTTAGTACGGGTATTAATAATTATTTTTTTTATATAAAGTAGTTATAAGGTCCCAATTACAGTTCTTATGGGGTTTTCAGGGGCCCTGACATTTTTACTTAGAGTACCTGATCTCATTTACTTAGTATATTTTTGAGATACTGTAAATTTTACTAGAGGTGACAGTTAAAAATTTTCTTACAAATAAGTAATATTTAAAAAATTATTTTTTGGTTTAGATTCTATATTTTTTTAATCAAAATATTATTTTAAAAAATATCAAAAAAAAAAAATATATTATTATATCTGTAAATATATCTAAGTACTTATTAAGCAATTGTTAATTACTTTAAAAGTACTTATTATAAATACTTATTAAGCAAGTTTAACGCAACCTTATACTAAACAAGCATTTTTGTAATAATAATTAAATTTACTGTAAAGTTTAATAAATACAGAGAACCCTCCCTAAGTGCACACCCTCTCTAAATGCACACTTAAATTTGGGCCCGAATATATAGATGACCTTCCTAAATGCACTTTTTCTTATTGTTCTCTAAGTGCACATCATTAAAGTTCAGTCCCAAGAGCGTGCATTTAGGGATGGTTCTCTGTACTTATAATAAGTACTTAATAAGTGCTTGGTTATATTTTAAAAATTAGATAATTATTTGTATGTTTTTAAAAATATAATATAAAGTTATATATAATATAATATAATTAAAGTTAAAATTGAAGTTGAAGCTGGGTTAAAATTGTATAGAATTATTTTTTATTAGCATATCTGAAGCAAATTTACTAGTAAAATTTTATGCTATTGCAAAAATGAGATAAAAAATTTTTATTAAAAAATTTAGTCTCTTTATAGTACTTAATAAGTATTAAAATTAATTACTTATTTAATATTAATTATTATAGCAATTAAGAAATAGTATATTTAAGTAGTTTTTTAACAAAAGTATAAAATTATTTAAATTATTTATAAAGTATTTGAAGCTAATATTTGATTTATAATATATTATAATAGTAACTAAATATTTATTTTAAATATAAATAAATACACTAGTTAATATTTTTTTATATAATAGGACAATATGAAGATAATATATAAAAAAACAAATACTCTAAAATCAGCTATAAGATATAAATCTAGTTAATAAAATTATACAAATATTGGCCAACTGATTTTATGATGATTAATAAAATATTAAATTATAATCTAATAAAAAGAAGATATTAAGGCAATAAGAATATACAACAAAAAAATGATATAAGATAAATTAATGATTTTATATATTAAAAGAAGATATTATAAAGAAACAATTAATTAATATAAAGTATCTAAACTTAAACTGATAAGCAATGATATTAAATGATTAATTAAAGAATAAATAAATTACAAAATGATATAAAACTATATTATTAATTTATTAAAATTGACTTAAAATAAGATGATATAAAGGTGATTGATTGAATAAATGATTTTTACTAGCTGATATTATTCAGATTAAATAAATTACTAGAAGATATATTGAAGATATAATTAAATATCAATAAACATCTTAATATTATTAAGAATTGTGATGAAATAAACCAATTGTCATATGATTTAATAAATTTCTTTGTAATATTTTACTAATAAATTTAATTTATTTAATTAGACTTAATATAAGCTGATATTTTTACAATTAATTAAATATACCATTTTCACTAACTAATGATTTTCTAATTATATAAATTACTTGATGATAATTATGTGACTAAATTAATTATTATTTAACATCTTAATACTAGAAACTGGAAACTAGTATAAGTCTGAAGATAAAAAAGATATTGAGTATATTTGTTAATAATTAAGTAACTAAATAAATTATCATTAATATTTTAATACAACATTGCTAAATCACACCACTAGTGTTCAACACCACAATAATATTTATTATAAGCTTCAGTGTAATATAAAGATCAGATATAACATGAGTTTTTGTTTTTTTTTAAAAAAAAGAGCATAACTCAAAATTTTATTTATAAACCTAATTTTTAAGTTCTAATAAAAAAATTATTTGCAAAATTTTGGTATAAACTAAGCTCTTACCCCATCCTAGCCTTTAACCCTAACCCTAATCTTAATCAAAATTTAATTTTTGGTTTGATAAAAATTATTTTGATTTATATGTTACACTGCAGTTTATTATAATAGTGTTAAACACCATAAATTATTTAATAAAGATACAAGCAAGGCCTCACTTTAATATTTAAAAAAAAAATTACAATACATAATAATATTAAGAAGTTAAATAATAATTAATTTAGTGA